CTTAGAGGAAATGCACGCAGTCTCTGTGTGGTCCTAGGAAAATAAAGCAAACAGAGTAAGTGTTGTAATCCTGGACTGGAATAGAGAGACTTCTTACGGGAGGCATTTTAAGGAGGGTGGAGAGTGGGGGTGCTCTTCCTGCCTGCAGATCACAGTCGACAAGGGCTTGCTGCTTCAGATGAGCTCGCACGAGACCCCGAGGCAGGTAGAATGGTGCGGCTGAAAGCATCTCTGCATCAGAATGCTTGGGTCCCGGTTTTTTTCTAGATCTGCCACTGACTAGCCAATCTCAGAAGTCCCAGCAGCCTTCATGTGCAAAAACAAAGAGGTCATTTCCATGTCTTTCAACCTGAAAATCCAGAAAGTGGGAACATCTGTGTTTAAAGACTATTCAACATTTTTCAGATTAAACTGATCCACATTTTCCAAGGTATCAAAGTAGTGGCTGCATCCTCTCGTGTGCTGGGAATCATAGACTTCGCCCCTCACCCTTGACCGTGACCTGATTCTAGATGATTGTTGCTGGTAGAAATGTGCAAGTCATTCAAGGCGCTTCTCTAGAGGAATAACTTTAGTTTCACTCTTGATTTTAACTATGTTTATGTTATGAGTTGAAATAAATGGCCTTAGAGTTGATTCATCGAGGAGAGAGCGATTCTGCCTAGAGTTCTTTGAAAGCTGGCTATACTGAGTGAGAGCCTGGGTCACTGCCGAGAACAAAAGGGAAGAGAAGTGCGGATGGAGGGAGACTGATTCCTTTTACAAACCCAGCTGGTCTCCTTAGCAGTTGCGTGTGGTTTCCACCCAACCCATGTATCACTTGGTTAGGACTGCTAATTAGGGGGCAGAGATGTGGACTGCTGTCTGCAGCCCTAAAGATGGTTATTAACCAGGAGGCTGAGCTGGTGGCTGCAGCTGACACTGGAAATTCACCCAGCTCCGTCCCTGGGAGATGGGCCATCCCAACATCGTAGACGGCTGTACGCCACAGGCATTTCGTTCTCCAAAATCCTACATTCATTTAATGTTTCCAGCCACATAAGAAGTAGAAAACATATGACTTAATTTCCAGATTAGAAGACTAAAGATCGAACAGAAAAAATAACTTGCCCAGTGTTACCCAGCTGGCACCCAGAGGAGCTGGGATTCAACACCGCTCTGTCTCTCTCGGTAACACAGGTCCACACCTCGGTTCCTTGCCCTGTCAGGCCTTCTCCATTTCTCCATCTGCCAAATAAGTCACACCTGGTTTCATCTCGCCTTCTTTCTTCCCCTAATCCATGACACACTCTCTCTTTTTGTTTTGTTTTTGTTTTTGGAGATGGAGTTTTGCTCTTGTCGCCCAGGCTGGAGTGCAGCGGTGTGATCTCGGCTCACTGCAACCTCCGCCTCCAGAGCTCAAGCAATTCTCATGCCTCCGCCTCCCAAGTAGCTGGGACTATAGGCGTGTGCCACCATGCTTGGCTAGTTTTTGTATTATTAGTAGAGATGGGGTTTTACCATGTTAGCCAGATAATTACAAGGATAATAGGAGTTACTTCCTGACTGCATGAAAAGTACATAGAACAGAGCCTGGCACAAAGAGAGAAGCCAGCGAGTACCAGGAATGATGGTCACAGGCAAGCTCACCTCGGATGACCTGGTAAGCCTGTGTTACGGGCTGGATATTTGCCCGGAATTTACGTGTCAAAGCTCTAACCCGCAGTACCCAGAATGTGACTGTATTTGGAGGATGGAAGGAGGTAATTAAGGTAAAATGAGGCCATCAGTGTGGGTCCTAATCCGACGTGACTGGTCCTGACAAGAAGCGGAGATGAGGATACTGACATGTGCAGAGGGGAGCCGGTGTGAGGACACAGGGCAGGGCGGCTGTCTGCAGCCAAGGAGAGTGGCCTCCGGAGAAACCAGCCCTGCCAACACCTTGGCCTCAGACTTTCAGCTTCCAGAACTAGAGGTCGGTGTTGTTGAAGCCTCCCAGTCTGGGGCACTTTGCCATGGCAGCTCAAGCCGGCTAACACACCTCGCTTAGCCCCGCATTTCTCAAATATATTCAACTAGAGAAGTTGTCTTGATAATTTAGAGCGAAGCCCTGGGCTGCGCTGCCACAAGGGCAGCGGCTGAACCAACCACCTGTCAAGGAGTTTCCATCCAGAAGGGGGTGAAGGAGTCTTCACCCTAGTGGGGGCCCTGTGGCCCTGTCCCCAGGAATTCTCCAGCTATGCCTGAGGGTGGAAGCCGCCTTCCTGCCTACTCTTTTGTTGCTGTTGTTGTTGAAGAGCTGGGGTCTCACTCTGTCACCCAGGTTGGAGTGCAGTGGTGCAATTACAGCTCACTGCAGCCTTGAATTCCTGAGCTCAAGCGCTCCTCCTGCGTAAGCCTCCCGATTAACCGGGACTGCAGGTGCACACTACCATGCCGGCTAACATTTTTGATTTTTTATAGAGACGAAGGTCTTGCTGTGTTGCACAGGCTGGTATCAGATTCCTGACCTCAAGCCATCCTCCCATCTCAGCCTCACAGAGTGCTGGGATTGCAGATGTGAGCCACAGACCTGCTCTCCTGGCACGTCTTTGAAAATGCATGCAGAGCTGCAGCAGCCACAGCCCCGCCGGGGAGAGAAGCCCCACTTAGGGTTGTGGGGGAGCAGGCATCTGCCAGAGTTTCTGCCTAGTTTTGGCACATCTCAGGCCAGCCTGGGCTTTGATTCCTTGGCTAACCCTGCCTCCTTTCTTGCTGAAGTAAAGAGATGTGCTTTATGACGTTTGTAGCTCAGACGACCTTGACTGATACAGTCTCTACGGAGTCAGATCCTGGCGTTCAGCTACTCTTGATCAATGACTCCTGCCGGGGCTCTGGCCTGCCTCTCACTCCTGCAGGGCACTGCAGGGCCACTCACATCCTCTGTCACCTCTGGGCCTCCAGGACAAACCTCTAAGCGGAGTGGGTGTCTGCTGAGCAGCACCTGCAGACATCGACCAGACCACTTCTTCCAAGGATGGTGACAGCTGCTCAGATTCTTACCGAGAGCCTGGGGCTCCCTCCCGTGGGCTTCTGTGGCACCATTTGCCCATGGTTATATAACCACATGGCACAAGGGTGGATGTGTGTCTGTCTTAGGTTATGATCTGAGATACCATAATAGACAACTCTGGCCGAGAATGGTGGCTCACACCTGTAATCCCAGCCCTTTGAGAGGCCAATGTGAGAGGATCCCTTGAGCCTAGGAATTCAAGACCAGCCTGGACAAAAGAGCCAGGTGTGATGGTGCACACCTGTAGTCCCAGCTACGTGGGAGGCTGATGTGGGAGGATCACTTGAACCCAGGAGGTCAAGGCTGCAGTGAGCTATGATTGTGCCACTGCAGTCCAGCATGGGTGACAGAGCAAGACCCCGTCTCAAAAACAACACAAAACAAAACAACACCAAAAGAGACACCCCTTTACCACTAAGGCAGACCCTAAGGTTCAGCAGCCAAGAGTTATCAACAGGTCGAGGGTTCAAAGTTTGGCTGCTGGGGCAACTTTTTTTTTTTTTTAATTCTTATTTTCTTTTAATAATTTTTCTTTTTTTCTTTTTTCTTTTTTTTTAAAGATGGGGTTTCACCATTATGGCCAGGCTGGTCTTGAACTCCTGACCTCAGGTGATCCACCCACCTCGGCCTCCCCAAGTGCTAGGATTACAGGCGTGAGCCACCGTGCCTGGCAACTTCTTAAATTCCTACAGGAAAAGCCACACTCTGCTAAACTCCCTAACCACAGGAGCTAGCAAGCACATCATCCTAACTCTGACTCACAACCCAGCCCAGTACAGCTCTGACTGGACAGAGGACCATCTTACAAACACTCTTTCCTGGTAAGAACCGGACACTCCAAGCCAGTTCTAGTCAGGTCTAGAGGCTCCACATACACTGTCTGTGTCCTTTAGTTACCTTTGACATAAAGAGCCAAATTCCACCTCATTTTCCTCTAGGCCCCGACACAAAGTGAACATGGGATGTATGTTGCATATATGTTTACCTATTGCACATACACTGGGCTCCCCTCATAAATATGTATTGATTTTGCCCCAAACTTGCTGAATATGCATGACTCTTGTGTGTAACACAGACCCTGTGAGGCCTAACACACATCCTGCCCTTTCTCTCTTTGAAGAGACCTTCAGTCCAAACTGGAGACCATCTCTTCCCAGTTTGCAAACTGATATCACCAACAAACCTCTCCGTCCTTTTTTTTTTTCTTTTTTGATGGAGTCTTGCTCTTGTCACCCAGGTTGGAGTGCTGTGGTACGATCTCCACCCACTACAACCTCTGCCTCCTGGGTCCAAGCAGTTCTCCCCGCCTGAGCCTCCTGTGTAGCCTGGATTGTAGGCACCTGCCACCAGGCCTGGCTAATTTTTGTATTTTTAGTAGAGACAGGGTTTTGTCATGTTGACCAGGCTGATCTTGAATTCCTGACCTCAGGTGATTCGCGGGCCTTGGCCTCCCAAAGTGCTGGGATTACAGGCTGAGCCACCACGCCTGGCCGAAAGCTCTCCCCTTTCAGCCACGGAGCCATCTTGGTGGTCTTTTGGTTGGCAGGCTCCTTGAGGCCCAGGCTTATGTCGTAACATCTCCGGAGACTCAGCACTTGTCACAGTGCCCACTGTGTGCTGCTTTTAACCCACTGGCGAGGTCCATGTGCTCCCAGCCTGCGGTGGCTCGTCAGTCCCTCGGCTCCCAGGAGTCCTGTGGGTGCTCACAGAAATGCCAACCACTGTCCAGCATCGACTTTCTTTTTCTTTTTTTTTTGAGATGGAGTCTCACTCTGTCACCCAGGCTGGAGTGCGGTGGCACAATCTCAGCTCACTGCAACCTCAACCTCCTAGGTTTAGCCTCCTGAGTAGCTGGGATTACAGGCATGCTCCACCACACCCAGCTAATTTTTTGTATTTTTAGTAGAGACAGGGTTTGGCCAGTTGGCCAGGCTGCTCTCGAATCCTGAGCTCAAATAATCCGCCTGCCTCAGCCTCCCAAAGTGCTGGGATTACAGGCGTGAGCCACCGCGGCTGGCCAGCGCTGACTCTTTTACAGCTTGCTGTTGCAGAGTCAGGAAGGATCCAGACCAAGATGCACCCTCCACAGCCGCTCAGAGTTCAATGAAGTGCCATTACTCCAGCAGCACTTACCGGAGCGGAACAGAACTGGCTGCCCCCTGGCCCTTGGCCTCGCTGCCCTCACTGGAAGGACCAGAGTCCAGAGCGTGGCTGCATATTCAAGGACACCAGCCAGACAGTTCAGCAGGGGGTTGCAGCTCATAAGGTCATCGGCCACAGGGGCCACTACTATGGTCTTGGAATCGGCTGCGATGTCATCCCAGGTTGGTGGAGGTGGTGGGTCCTCACGGGGCCTTTTAGGCCACATTGCCCAGTGGCTCAGAGCTAGACAGGAGGCTTTCTGGGAAGCCTTTAGGGAAGGTCCCTAACCCTGGGCTTCCTTTAATCATCCGTTAGACAGAGAGAACAATAATTATACATTAAAAAAGACATGTTTAGGGAATGAATGAAATACTGTGTGTTAAACCGTTTAATTCTAACACCTGAAAAATGATTGTTTTGGGTTTGTTTACTTGTTTGGCTGATTTAACTCCAATCTGTGATCCTCCTCCCGCTCTGCCTCTTATGGTCTGACCTCCTTAGGTCCAAAGCCTGCTTGCTCTTGCCCTCATTCCTCACAGCTCACACAGGCTATGCTCTCTGACCCCCTGCTTTTCTGTGTACCAAACTTTCTTTTTCTTTTCACATTCCTAGCTCCTACTCGTCCTTTGAGCCCTTCCCTAATTCTACCTTCCTTCTTCCCATCTTAATCCTGCGATTCTCAGTCCCGGAGCTAGGAAATTGTGTACCTAGTAAGTGACTGCTCATTTCAGGGTCATGTGTGGCTGAGTCACTTTTTTTTTTTTTTTTTTTTTTTTGAGACAGAGTCTCGTTTGGTTGTCCGGGCTGGAGTGCAGCGGCACGATCTCAACTCACTGCAACCTCCACCTCTCGGGTTCAAGTGATTCTCCTGCCTCAGCGTCCTAAGTAGCTGGGATATTACAGGCACCCACCACCATGCCTGGCTAATTTTTGTATTTTCAGTAGAGATGGGGTTCCACCATGCTGGCTAGGATGGTCTCGAACTACTAACCTCAAGTGATCCAACGTCCTTGGCCTCCCAAAGTGCTGGGATTACAGGCACTCGCCACCACGCCCAGCCTAATTTTTGTGTTTTTAGTAGAGACGGGGCTCACTATGTTGGCCAGGCTGGCCTTGAACTCCTGACCTCAGGTGATCTGCCCACCTCAGCCTCCCACAGTGCCGGTGTTACAGGCATGAGCCACCGTGCCCAGTCCCATGTCAGTTGTTACAAGGGGGAGAGAGACAAAGAGCCGGACAGACCAGCATCTACCTGCACCATTAATGTAGAACAGCTCAAGGTCTTCCATCACCACCATTAGACTGTCAGGATCCGCCCCACTCATGGCTCCTAATTGATGGGTTCTCATGTTCCAGATGTAGGGGTAGGCACTTACATGCACTATTTTATTTCATTTTCACAATAGCTCTATGAGGTTGATGACCTAGCCTGGACAGGAAGAGCTGTGCATATCGTCAAGGCTGTGCTTACAGTACATCAGTGAGGCACAGCACCTGTGCATCCCAGCAAAGCCCAGAGTGACCCATTTTTCACCTCAGTAGCCAGCATCAGCATGCCAGTGGTCTGTCTCCTTCTCTGGCGCCCCAGTCCTTTCCAGAAATTCACCCAGCTTGCTGACAAGAGACTGTGCAGGTGCTGCTGTTACCTGGTGGTGGGCTGTCATCGGACAGCTGCAGGTGATCGCCCTGAGGCTTGGTTGTGGAGGTTGTCAAGCAGAAGGCTGGCAATATTCCCACAGCCCGGATGTGCCGAGGCAGCGTACGTGAGTCAGGCCACAGCTGCTGCAGCCACAGTGTGGCTTTGTGCTGTGATCGCCTGCAGAGAGGAGCAGCCACTCACCCATCCACGGACTCTCCTAATTGCTTCTTAGCACCTATAATTCCCTTTCTCCTGGGAAAAGCCCTGCAAGTTCCAGGCTTTCCCCTACCCTGTTCTGTGGATTCCTTTTGGTTGATTTCCCAGTATGAGATCCAGCATTATTCCTTTTGAAATTGTAATCCCTGCTGTTTTCCCACATCGAGAGTGAAACTAAGAGGCACTTTTTTAAGAATCTGCTTCCAAGTGCTCTTGGACCAAGTTTAAGTTCTCTGTCTACTCTAGCAGGCTCCGCCCATTCCCAGGGCATCTGTCTGAAGTGGGGCCTCTCCTGGCCAAATCCTACCAGCCAAGACCTGGATCTCCCAGAGCTCAGAAAGCTCCCACTGGCAGGGGCCCTGTTTTCCTTCCTGCGTCCTTTCTCTCCCCTTGTCCCCTGGTCTCCAGATGAGAAGACACAGATGGCACTTGTCCCAAGAAGACCTTCACTTGTGCTGTGGGCAGGGAGGTCACTCTTCCCTTTCTTAGCACAAAGCAGTCACTGTGCTCTGCCTTGCAGAGGGAAAATGCAAATGGTGCTCTGGGTGTGGCCGAGTTCCTGGGGGCCCCAAGTGCTGGGGCTGCATTCTTTATGGGACAGCCTTTTTCTTCCCTTTCTGCAGGCTGGGCCTGAAATATGAAGATTACTTAAAACTCATACTATGCCAGGACATGGACATCGCAACAAATTGGGTAATGAGTGTCAACTCAAAGACTATTTAAGATTAATTGCTGCATAAGAAAACCTGAAATGCCCTGAAAGCTTATGGACCATAAATGAAAGAAAAGTTCATCACAACGTCCTCAAGCTTGGAAACAACCCTAAGACTTCAAGACTAACAAACAGATGTGAGGCTGAAACTCTTCTGAACTTTAATAACAAAAACAAGGTGTGATAATTGTACAAGACAGAAGAACTATTTTTCTATTCCCTCTACAGGAAGATATTATTGCAGAATCATTATTTTTGCTGTTGTTTGTTTTATTTTTTATTTTTATTTTTAGAGACAGGGTTCTCCCCGCCTCCCCAGGCTGGAGTGCCGTGGCACGATCATAGCTCACTATGGCCTCGAACTCATGGGCTGCAGTGACCCTTCAACTTCAGCCTCCCCAGTAGCCAGGACTGTAGGGCAGGCAGGATCATTCTTCTTTGAAGAGAGATATACAGCCCAAAAAATGCAGAGAAAGGATGTTTAGAGGTACCTCGGGCAATTATTAAGCAAAAATATTGCGTCGTTCTTTTGAGTTTTATATTTGCAGTATTGGTCAGCTTCTGAAACTTTGTAAGCCTTTCTTGCATTGCTCACCAAAGCCTGGAGATTTCAACCACTATCAATGGCTTTACATGTTGTATGCCCAGGGACACCTATGGTGCAATCATAATAGCTAATTTTCCCTGCAGTGCACAAATCTCATACTCTTGAAAGCCAGATGTAGTCAGTTCTCAGTCCCTTTGATGCAATGAAGTTATGTGTGTGCAACCAGCCTCCTTTTCCTGCATGAGCTCCTTGAAACACTGCTTTTTCTGGAAAAAAAACGGGAACCTATTAGGAAGAGCATCGACCATTATCAGGCAGCTTAAATGCCTTTGCAAGAACTCCTGGTAAGAACTGGATCTAATTTTCCCCTCTGAAACTTGAGCAAACCACTCACCATGACTTTCCTGGAGCAGGGGATGATTTTTTTGGGGGGCGGGGGGTGGCGGACAGAGCCTCACTATGTCACCCAGGCTGGAGTGCAGTGGCGTGATCTCAGCTCACTGCAACATCTGCCTCCTGAGTTCAAGCGATTCTCCTGCCTCAGCCTCCTGAGTAGCTGGGATTACAGGTGTGTGCCACCAGGCCCGGCTAATTTTTGTAGTTTTAGTAGAGACGGGGTTTCACCATGTTGGCCAGGCTGGTCTCAAACCCATGACCTCATGATCCACCCACCTCTGTTTCCCAAAGTGCTCAGATTACAGGCATGAGCCACCATGCCCTGCCAAGGATATGATGTTAACATGCTTAAGATTCCTCTATAGCAACAATTTCATTCCATTTTCAGGCAAATAGGAAATAGTCTATGTTCTTGACCTTTTAGACTAAATTTCCTTTTGTACCCCAGATCCACTTAATATCAAAGTTTTAATGAAATTATTGAATAATAGAGCATTCTGAGCAACTCTAGGAGGGTTACGCCATCTGCCTGTTTGCTTAGGTACTAGTTAAGGATTGTCCTAGATTTGAAATTTATTGTAAAGAATCCCACAGGAACTACCTGCTTGAATTAAAATCTGATTTTTATGACTGGAGGGATGAAAACAATCTAAGACAGATTTATGGTGATCGTTGTACAACTTGGTGAGGTTACTGAAAATCACTGACTTGTACACTTTGGAATGAGTGAACTTTGATTTGATAATGCTTTTAAAAAATCTGACATGCTTGATGGTCTTTCAATTTAGGGATTAAAAACACAAGAGTAAAAAGAAGGTATAAAATTCGTGTATATCTCACAAAAAGTACAATTTGTTAGTTAAAATAGGAAGTTTTAAAACATCCTGGCTTTTACATAAGAATAGTCTTAGCTTGTAAAACCCTACTTATCACTTATGCTATCTAACCTACTCCTTGAATCTCAGCATTCCTGAAACCTTTGAAACTCTTAGTATTCAAATTTTAAGATTGTGACTTAAACCCAAAACCTCACAAGAAATGTTGACTTTGTCCTGAGTGGCTAAGAACAAAAACCCCAGCCAGTGACTCAGTTGTTCATTCAGTAATGAATCCAACACCTAATACGTGCTGATCATGGGAGTGAAGAGATAACTGTGTGTTTCTATCACTTTAGGTTTGGTAAAGCAGGACTTGTCATTGCATAGAGCAAACAAAAAGTCTTTTATGGGCAGAATTCAGAGACTCAGAGCCACATGACCCTCAGTTTTCAAAGCTTGAATTTTTAGAATTCTACTGTAACTGCTGGGGTAGTTTCCTCTAACAACGTACAACTATGAGTGTAAATAAGTCCAGTCGGATGATGGGATTCTCTGCTATCAGGTAAAGGTTTCCTTTTTTTTCTTCTTTTTGAGATGGAGGCTAGCTCTGTCGCCCAGGCTGGAGTGCAATGGTGCAAACTCGGCTCACTGCAGTCTCCACCTCCTGGGTTCAAGTGATTCTCTTGCCTCAGCCTCCCGAGCAGCTGGGATTACAGGTGCCCGCCACCATGCCCAGCTAATTTTTAAAAATATTTTTAGTAGAGACAGGATTTCACTGTGCTGGCCAGGCTGGTCTTGAACTCCTGACCTCATGATCCACCCGCTTCAGCCTCCCAAAGTGCTAGGACTATAAGTGTGAACCACTGTGCCTGGCAAGATTTCCATTTTTTAAAGGGCCTGCTCTCCTTAGTTGACTGACATTCCTTCTGGCTAGTGTGTTCTGTCTGGGAGCCTCTATTAATATTCTAGATTAAGCAGGCCATGGCTGGTTATACGGTTCCTAATGAGAATTGATTTCTATAGCTGGAATCAGCAGAACCAAACAGTACAAAATGTTCCTTCCCAGGGAACTACTAGCACGAATTTGGCTGTTGAAACGAGCTACTCTCCACCTTGGAAATGCTAGTCCTCTGAAGTGGAACACAGACAGATATGTTTTGTTGGGCAGGAAGCACGGGAGGGGTCTGTTTGCTCATTTCAAGTGCACAAATCATTGATTTTCAGTAAATTCACCAAGTCATGCAACTATCACCATCAATCTGTGTTAGACCGTTTTCATCCCTCCAGTCATAAAATGGAAATCAGATCTTAATTCAAGCAGGTAGCCCCAATTAGCTTGCCTTCCTTTCCTTCCCTAAATATTTAAAGAAAACAGAAAAGAATTCCTGAGGGCAAATAATAAAAAAGATAATCTCATCCAAATGTGATATCCATTTTCCGAATAGTTAATTTTCAACTTTTTTTTTTTTTTTTTTTTGAGATGGAGTCGCCCAGGCTGGAGTGCAGTAGCAAGATCTTGGCTCACTGCAGCCTCCACTTCCAGGGTTTGTGCAATTCTCCCGCTTCAGTCTCCTGAGTAGCTGGGATTACAGGCACTCACCATCATGCCCAGCTAATTTTTCTGTTTTTGTAAAGATGGGATTTCACCACGTTGCCCAGACTGGCCTTGAGCTTTACACTTTAGGTGATCCACCCACCTCTGCCTCCCAAAGTGCTGGGATTACAGGCCTGAGCCACCGCACCCAGCCAATTTTCAACCACATGCATAAAACGAGCCTGGAAGGATCTGTGACCGGATGGGAAGACATTTGTCCCTATCTGGATTTCTAGCATGGGCACTCTCTTCCTCCACCTGGGAAATTCCCTTCTTGAAGGGAATGAAGTTGAAGCTCCTACCACAGAAGCAGCAGATGCCAGGGTGTCATGCTCCTGGGATGGATGAGAGCGTACGGTCTAGGATCTGCTAATCAAATGCCCCTGCTCCAGACTTTGAATTGGAAGTTTGTGACTTAAGGAAGCATGGACTGCATAATCTAGTCTCGTGAAGGATTCACTTATCCAAAACCCTCTATAACCCCTTCCCTTTGTCCCTACTGTAGAGGCTGGACATGCCAAATGAGTGCTTTCTTGGGTTCCCTTGTAGCTCTAGATGGCTTATGGCCCACTCTGGCCAGATAGATAGAAGTGGAGGCCTGACTTGGAATTTTTTGGTAAAACCTTGTCCTCCTGATATAGGAGTCACTCCTTCTGTCTTCCAATTTCTGCTTTGAATGCAAATGTAATGGCTGGAGCTAGAGCAGCCATCTTGCAACCATGAGAGGACAATTGAAGATGAAATGCAATATGCTAAGGATAATAGAGAGGAAGGATGGATAGAGTCAGGATCTCTGACAGATTTTGTAAATGGTTGAATCAATGCTTGCAACAACTGACATCCAAATATGTAAGAAAGACAAACATTTACAACTAATCTCCTATCAGCCAGATTTTCTGTTACTTGCAACTTTCATCTTGCCTAACTGTTACAGGCAATCTGACGATGTCCAGTGTCCAGCACTGGTCTTTTCTGTGGGGCAAACTACTAGTATCAGAGCCAGTGGTAGGGGCAGTGATGTTATTCTGGAACCAATCCTGCAGATTGCTTTGGGTATCATTCCTCCTCCTCCTCCTCCTCCTCCTCCTCCTCCTCCTCCTCCTCCTCCTCTTCCTCCTCTTCCTCCTCCTCCTCCTCTTCCTCTTCCTCCTCTTCCTCCTCCTCTTCCTCTTCCTCCTCTTCCTCTTCCTCCTCTTCCTCCTCCTCCTCCTCTTCCTCCTCCTCCTCTTCCTCCTCCTCCTCCTCCTTTTTTGAGACGAAGTTTCACTCTGTCACCCAGGCTGCAGTGCAGTCGTGCAATCTCGGCGCACTGCAAACTCTGCCTCCCGGGTTCAAGTGATTCTCCTGCCTTAGCCTCCCGAGAAGTTGAGAGTACAGGTACCTGCCACCATGCCCAGCTAATTTTATTTTTTTGTATTTTTAGTAGAGACGGGGTTTCACCATGTTGGCCAGGCTGATCTTGAGCTACAGATCTCAGGTGATCCGCCTGCCTCAACCTTCCAAAGTGCTGGGATTACAGGTGTGAGCCATCATGCCCGGACTCATTCTTTCTTCTTAATCTCCAAGTTCTTCCAGCACTCTTAAAGATTTTGTGAACTACATAATGTGCCTTTTAATGAATTTTTTTTTTTTTTTGCTTAAATTAACCCAATCTTACTTCTGTTGCTTACAACCAAGAACTCGGGAAATATAGAAATGGACAACAGGAGCATTGGCAGCAACATACTCTCAGAGAATGGTGAGAATTTGAGCTTGGTTATCCGGTCTGGGTGAGCTGGAGGACAATGAAAATTCATATGGTGAATTCAGACAGTTCATGGCATAAATTGTCATTTGTGGTCACCTGTGGTAAAGGTAACCCAGTACAATGAAGATCCCCTTGAAATTAAAGTTTTCGGAAATAGAGTGGATGCCGCCAGACAACAGTATGAGGGAGGCAAATAATTTAAGAGCTGTGGGGAAAAGTGGGTGATTCTAATGGCCGGGTAGCTTGAGAAGCGAATAGCAAGGGCTGAAATTCTAGTTCAAGGCACACAGTCTGAAAACCAAGGACTCTGGGTGACTTTCAAGGGTGATGCTAAAATCATACCTTATCTTTTTCAACGATGGTCAAACCACGGCCAAAATGGAGAGCCTGTGAATTTCTGTTTTTCTTTTCCTTTCCTCATTCTATTGCCTAGGCTGGAGCGCAGTAGCATGATCTCTGCTCACTGCAATCTCCTCCAGCAGGGTTCAAGCGATTCTCCTGCCTCAGCCTCCCGAGTAACTGGGATTACAGGCACACGCTGCCACACCCAGCTAATTTTTGTATTTTTAGTGAGATGGGGTTACCATGTTACCATGTTGGCCAGGCTGGTCTCGAACTCCTGACCTCAGGTGATCTGCCTGCCTCAGCCTCACAAGGTGCTGGGATTACAAGTGTGAGCCACCGTGCTGAACCAGGTTTCTGATTTTCAACATCCGTTAAATG